AATATCGAAAACCGTGATAATATTATACATTATTATAGTCCTTTTCCATCATAATGATAGCACATTATGTATGCAAATCCTCAACAGGTCAAAAAACCATAGGCGTCACCCTATACATGTTTTTAACTAAATAAAAAAAATTAATAATTTAAGATGCCATCAACAATTCATTATCTTTTAAAAAATCTTCTGTAAAATAAGTGTCCACTAATCTCACTATACCTTTTTTGTGTGTAAAAACGTCGGTATATATTCCACACAATTATTGTAAATTATACACGGGTGATTAACGAGAGAATTTAATGTTTCACGAAATAAATTAATGTAAACAGTAATTTAAAGGTGATTATTGTTTTCTATACAAATTATCGCCTAGGAAAAAAAGAGTACCTTCTTTGAACGATTACCTGAAATTACTGATAAGGCTTCACTAATGATAGTTTAAGTAGTTTTTATGCCACATTACAGCTTATGCCAATAATATAAATTAGAAATTGTTTGCATCTTCCATTTAGTTTGTAGATGTACATTGTTCATGTCTTACCTACCTACGTTTTTAGTGTCGATATTTTGTTATTTGCATTTAAAATGACGTCGACAACAGGTTTTATTCCGGTTAAGTGTAGTTTTAAAAGTGTCTTCAGTCTAAGAGTGAAAAATATAATATTAAATGTACACGATGCACTTGTACATCAACGCCCTTTAAGTAATGTTCGTGAAATTGTTAACATGTGTTTAAATATGACAGGGGTTGGAGAAGCAACAATTTATAGATTCCTAAAAGAAAGAAAAGGAGAAACTATTTCATCTTCCAAGAAGAGTGGAGGGAGTAAACCCTTGGAAATTGAACAAATACATAAAAACATGATAAGACGCAGCGTCCACTCATTTTTTTTTAACAAAGAATTTCCAATATTAAACAAAATACAAACAATAATTAGAGAAAACGAAGAGTTACCAATCATAAGCAACAAGAAATTATGAGGACTATTCAGAGAAAGAGAAGAAAATCCGTTTTAATTGAAAAAGGTTACATTGTATGTTGGAGACGAGATTATCTAAGAACTATTAAAAAGTACCGAGAAGAAGGGAAAACAATTTTTTATTTGGACGAGACTTGGCTAAATGAAGGTCATACTGTACCATATCTATGAGTTGATACAAATGTGAAAAGTTCCCGTCAGGCATTCATCGAAGGTGTATTTACTGGAATAAACAGCAGCTTATAAAAAATATATAATTGATGAAATGGCATTAAACCGTGATGTAATTATTTTACGTTTACCCCCATACCACTATAATCTGAATCCGATAGAAAATATATGGTCTCAAGTAAAGGGTGAAGTCGGACGCAACAGTAAAACTTTTTGGAAAATTGGAAAAATGCTGTTAGTCATGCTGACAAGGAAGAAAATAAAATGTGGAATTAGGATAATATGACTGATGCAATGCTGGAACCGGTAATAATTAACATTGGAGTCGAAGATTCCTTAGATTCTGAAGAAAGCAGTGAATCTGAAATGGAATTTGATTAAAATAATATTCATTTTTTTACAAATCGGCCCCTGTTACGGCCACAAATTATTTTATATATAACCAACAAAATAAACATCTTACATTTCTTGCAAATTCATTAGTACCTGTTAATCTCCATCACTCCGACACTGGCAACTTTATTTAGGGATTAGTAACCCTCAAAACTATTGTATTCTATTCTGCTTCAACCTTTATACCTGGTGGTCACACTCAATTTAAAATTGTTCTCCTATATACTTCTGTAAACTTGTTGACAAATATCTATTTTTCATTGAATCACCCGTATCAACAGTTTAGGGATTTGCATACATAATGTGCTATCAATATGATGGAAATGGACTATAGATACCTCCTAACAGTTTTTAAATAATTAAAAAAATCATCATTAGTTGAATTACACATATCAAAATGGTCTAGGGGATAAAATAATCAAAAAATAATTAAGTGATAATTTAACAATTTATTTGGAAAATATTAAAATTCAACAAATCTGGGCGTTGCTTAACGATAAATTGTAAATAACATAACACCGGTCATTGTATACAAAGGATTTAAACAATTGAAAAAAAAAGGAAACAAGAATTTTCAAATAAAATTTAAATATAAAGTAGTAGGCTCGTGTTAGTAGAGTGTGAACTACCACATCTGTTATTAATAACAGCTCGACATCGAATTGGCATACTCCTTTTTAAATTATCTATATCGTCTTGCTTAATTGATTTCCATTGCTCTTGCATACAGTTTAACAGCTCTTCTCTTGCCTGGAACACTAATCCTTGCTGTTGTACACGTCTTTTTAGCATATACCAAACGTGCTGGATGGAATTCTAGTGAGGAAATTGAGCAGGCTAGGGCAATAACTGAATATTGTTCTGCTCTATAAAATTGTTCACTATTCTTGCAACATACGGATCTGCGTTGTCGTCAACATGAAATACAGTCAAAAGTACAAATTGCTTCCGAATTGAGCAGCATATGGACGAACAATAGGTTCAAGACTACGGAATATGATCTCAATATTTATGCGCTGTTAAAAATCCTTCGATATGAACAAGACCAGTTCGAAAACCTATTGAAACTCCAGTCCAAACCATTAAAGTTCATCCTTGATATCTGTCAATTTCTTGAACGGTTTGTATACCTCGATACCCCCCGATCTTCGTGAATCAGGTCGTAAACCAAACCTGGATTTATCGGTGAAAAGAATGTTTGCACATTCTTGTTCTTACCAAATTTGATGTTTTTTTAGCCCATTCTAATCTCCTTGTGCGATTCCCACAGGAAGAAAATGGAACTCAACGCAACTGAACTCAGCATATTCCTGAAATAGGTAAAGAAATAATAAATAATATTTACTCACAATCAATTTAATTTAACTATCAGACGACCGGTTTCGCTTTCTTCAATATGCAAAGCATCTTCAGGTCTCGATACAAAGTTAAATAAATGCTGAAATGATAAAAGCCCATATAAGGGGATTTTCTAATAAAGATAAACAAAGTAGATGTTGGAAATTACAATATTTATGCCAATATTACATGTCTGTGGTTTTATTTCAAAAGAGTAAGTTGTATAAAAAGTTTTAAAAGTTTAAACAGACAAGGTAAGGCCCACAAATTGTTATAAAATAGTCTATTAGATTGTAATAAATTAATAAATGAGCAAATAAATAAACATTATTTACATGCCGGTACTCTATTAATTGATCGATGGTAGAACATGGTTGAAACCATCCATCCTACCATCCATCAATTAATAGAGTACCGGCATGTAAGTAATGTTTATTTATTTGCTCATTTATTAATTTATTACAATCTAATAGACTATTTTATAACAATTTGTGGGCCTTACCTTGTCTGTTTAAACTTTTAAAACTTTTTATACCTTTTTATACAACTTACTCTTTTTGAAATAAAACCACAGACATGTAATATTGGCATAATTATTGTAATTTCCAACATCTACTTTGTTTATCTTTATTAGACAACACCCTAATATGGATTTTTAGCATTTCAGCATTTATTTAACTTTGTATCGAGACCTAAAGATGCTTTGCATATTGTAGAAAGCGAAACCGATCGTCTGATAGTTAAATTAAATTGATTGTGAGTAAGTCTTATTTATTATTTCTTTACCTATTTGAAATGGACTCACACAAGCAACACATTCATGATATTCCTGAAAATTTGAACAGAGGCATTAATGTTATGAATGTTTTGAAGCTCACTTCATAGCTGGCTAGTGGTAACATTCTTCTTCTTCTTCTTCAGCCTGTATTCGTCCACTGCTGACAATCAAGCTGCTGACAATCAAGCGCCGACAATGTTTTCCTTGCTTGTTCGATTCTAGATAGTATTTCTTTTTTTGGATTATACCGACTATTGATGTTTGCTCCCAAATATTTTATGGAATTTACCTGTTCTATCATTTGACCCTTGACATATACATGTACGTTTATTGGTGTCTTATAAATGAAAATACTCCGACGAATATTACTGAAAAATCTGTTGGATAAGGAGGGAAACCAAAACATAAAAAGAGCATACAATATAGAAGACATAAATGAATAGGCACAAAACGGAAACAGATTAGTAAAATGGCAGGGCTTAGGATAGTACAAATAGCACGAGATAAGCCACCAAGTGGGCGAAGAAGTATTGGCAGACCAAGAAACAGATGCTGCGATAATTTAAACAATTTAGGAGGCTAAGATTAAAGAAGAAACAGGCTTTAAAGCATACATGCATACATACAAGAAGGAAGAAAAAGAAGTAAAATCAAGTGCTTTCAATACGCATTTTTGCGCCATTATGCATTCATCTCATGTTAAATGCTACTAAAATGTTAGCCATTGCGGACTATTTGGACAGGTTACATGTCACTTGTTAAGAATTTTTTGTGGTAGTGATGAAAAACTGGTAGCTTCCAGGATCGTTCAAGATCTCGTAGACCAAAAACTGCTAATACTGATGATAAAGCTTTAGAAGTTCTATCAAACTTATGATTAATAATTGTGGGAATTATAAAATTTCCACAAGAAGCTGTTAAGAAATCATGGTGTTTGAAAAAAGTCTGTACAATCTATTTTACATAAAAATAACTATTATCCTAAAATAATTCAAATTCGCGAAGAATTATCTGAATATGATTTTGATCTTTATTTAGTGATAGAGCCAAATTCTGTTTAAATCATTGCATGTATCAATATCCAGAAAGGTTGATGTCTGGGCGGATTTTGATAAAAAAAAAATTTAACTGATACTGTTTATGCTACAAGAATAAACAAAACATAAACAACAGGCATCTCAGGATACGGATAGACAAATATTTATGAAGAGTCTACACAAAAGATCATTCTGGTTTCAGCGTTGAAAGGTATATATGAAATTCAATCACGAAGTGTCAAAAATGTTGTTGCTTACCTAAACTTATTTGGTTTTCCTCCAGTTGTTTTAGTTTCTCACCAGCTATATCAAATTCTGTGATTTTGGTGCCCATTACAAGCGTGTCAAAAACTTCAGCAGTTCTATCAAAGTACTCCGACACCAGCCTATAGAATCTTAAAGAAGTAATCAGAATATTTCTCCTTCTCTCTAGCCTCATCGCAAAGCTTTTACAAACGAAGTCCATAAAGTCTTTTTGAGATATCAAGTCTTTGTGTTGTAAAGATAAAAATTCGTTGTCAGCAAAACTATTGATCTTATTAATAAGTTCTGCGTAAGTTCCGTACGTCTCCCAGCACCCCAATTCTATACCTTCGTGTTCTCGTCTGAGGTCTTCGGCTGAGAGAACATCATAGCCTACTTTTTGGTGAGAGTTAAGAAGATTTTCTGCTGGACCTAGGATCCAGTTAATAACTTTGACTATTCCTTCTTCCAAGTAACCTGAAAATATTGTAAATAAAATTGTGATTATTTTTGGTAATAACTTTGGCGATTAAATAAAAGAAAACCAAATGACCCATCATAATGCCACAGACGTAGAAAAGTAGGCCACTATCTATAATTAAAAATAACATGTCTCTGGAATCCCTTCAAGTAGGAAGTAACGACAGTTTACTCCCCTACATCTACTACAACGCAATTAATAGCACAAATCATTCAAATACTTATCATCATCGTTATTAAATAGTTAAAGCCTAATTAGTCCATTGTTAAATATATGCCTACTCTGAAATTTCTATTTATTTCCAATTCCTGCTATCCAATTTGTTGCAATTCTTCGAGGTAATCCGTCCATCGTGTTAGTAGTTTTCCCAGGCTCGCTTGTCTGCCCGTGTCCCTTTCAAGCAATTTTTTGTTCACCTGCAGCATTTTATTCTTCTGATATACCAGCCCACCTCTATTTTGCCTTGTCTCATAATGTCTTCTACTCCGTTTCGACATTAATTATATATTGTTTAAATTACTCGACTTACCTAAATCTTTGGTATCGATATACACCTTCTCCATTTCTATCCAGGCATCTTCAATTTGTAGCTGCTTATTTTTTATCCTAATTATAATTTCGTCAATTGTTTTTATAGTATCTAGTGTATCCTGAGAAGTCGAAGTATCGAAAGATTCTGAAGCAAATTTTCGCGTTCGACTATCGTATTCTATATTTTCAACTAGTTCTTTACCTGAAACAATAAAAATCTTTAATATAGCCTTTTAATAGGAAAATCTGATAGCGTTTACATAAAAAAATAATTGAGTGTAACTGAGTGCAAGTAATCAGCACAATTTACGATGTACACGCGGGGAATGTAGCAATATAATAAAGTGTGTGCTATGTTTAGGACACGTTGCCAGAATGAAGGACGGAAGATGAACTCGCAAACTAATTGAATGGAGACCAACAGCCGAGAGAGCCGTGGAGAAAAATCATAAATTATTTTCTGTGTGCCAACAACTTGATAAAAGAATAAGAAATTTTAGAAGAAAGTCGCTAGATACGTTTGGGGCTTTTTGGCTTAAATTAATCAATATCATTATCATTGGTACTACGTCTCTAGTTAATTCTCGACCTTCCTTAGCCTATTTTTAAATTAGGTACTATTTTCTGGTATCCTTATCCACATATCCGTATATCTCAATCTTGCGATACCTCGTCATCTGATCACCTCCGGTTTCGCCGATAGAATAAGTCTTGCAGGTTAGCTCTCATTTGTCCACCAATGTAGGCATCTAATTTTTATAATAACTACATCTTTTGTTGTGGATTTTTAGTTGTATTTATTGTTTAGCCCAAAATTATATCTACGGCGCCAAGTTCCATTATCATTCATTGGACGATCTCTTTCGAGATTGAGAAGCACTATATCGTAAGCATTTTGTAGTCAATAAAAGTTATGTGTACTTAGACTTATTGATTTTTTGCCTATGATCTGCTTTAATCAAAACACATTATTATTACAAAACTTTCCAGTCCTAAATTCACTTTGTTCTTCCGCCCTGGTAATTGAAATTTTCTTCTTCTATACTACTACTACTAAGGATTTCCACAGTTTTCACTGTCTTCCTTCACTCAACTGTTTTCTCCAATTTTCCCTGTCATTATAGTCTCCATCTCGCAGGGTTCTTTTCTCCATAGACTCGTCGATTTCGTCTCTGAATGACCTTCGGGGTCTTCCTCTCTTTCTTCTTCCGATCGGGCTCCATTCTGTGATTTTGTTTATCCAGCGTCCTCTGTCCGCTCTTCTGACGTGGCCGTACCAGGATAGTCTCTTCTCCTCTATATAATGGATTATGTCTGATTGCACTCCCATTCTCCGCTGAATCTCTGCGTTTTCAATTCTGTCTCTTTTTGTAAGTCTACAACTTCTCCTCAGGAACTCCATTTCTACTGCTCTTATTCTACCTCTATTTCTCTTGTTTATTGTCCAGTTTTCGGACCCATATGTCAGGATGCTTCTTGTCAGGGTATTATATATTCTCTTTTTTGTCTTTATCGTAATGTTCTTATCCCACAGCACTGAATTTAGTTGTCTTATACAGTTTCTTGTTTGTCTTAGTCTGTTGTTTATATCTTCTTCTGTTGTTCCCTGGTTCGATATTATGGTTCCTAAATACTTGAATTTATCTGTTCCATTTACTTGTCTTCCCTCGTCTATCTCTAGGTTTCTCATATCCTTGTTTTCTGTTGTTAGGTATTCGGTTTTCTCTAAGTTTATTTCCATTCCGTTGTTTTTATATTCTTCTTCTAGTTTTCTGAGCATGAATGAATGGCATAATCTTAAATGGATTGTAGGCTTTATTTCCACATTTAATAGCTACTTTGTTTTCTTTGTACAGTGCTTTAACTGCTTTTATTAGTGTTTGTCGGATTTCGAGATCATTCATTGCTTCCCATAATTTGACTCTTGGTATGCTTTCTTTAGTTCAACAAACGCCAGATGGACCGGTCTACCTTTTGCCATTTTCTTCTCTATCAGTTGTTCTAATGTGTACGTATGATCTAGGCATGATTTTCCTACTGTGAACCCTGCTTGGTCTTCTCCAATTGTTCCTATTATTTCAGTTTCTAGTTTTCCTTGATAATTTTCCCGTAAAGTCTACCTACCGACAATATTATATTGATTCCTCTGTAGTTTTCACATTTTTTCCTGTTTCCTTTCTTATGTATGGATGTGATGTATGCTTGTGTCCATTCCGCAGGTATTTCCTCTCCATTTAGTCCTCTTTCGAAAATTCTGTGTAACTTTCTTCTTCTATAAGGTTGCTTATTCTTCCCTATCCTTCCATAAACGACTAAGAGCTCATAGTACAAAGATTACAAATTACAGAAATAATACATAGAAACCTCTATAGCAAATTATGCAAAAATAAAAAGATTGTGCTGAGCACTTTATAAGAATAGATAATAATAGAGCACCTAGTAGAACGCTGAATGAAACTATCGTGGGACATCGGCTAGTAGAAAGACCAAGGAAGAGGTGGATAGACGAAGTGAGAACCGATACTAAATATATATTGAGATTGGATAACTGGAGAAAAGTAGCAAAGGAAAGGGATGCTGGAATCTGTACTCTGAGCATATTTCAGAAAATATAGATATTGGCTCTAAAAGATATTGATGAAGGTATCTCAATAAATATAGTTAAGTTCAATAACCTGCGGTGTGCAGATGATACAATGGTGTTTTCCAATACCATAGAAGGACTGCAAAACTTATCACTTTAGCCGCCAAGTGTAACATTAATGTACACTCTGTATTGACGAACGTGTTCATTAATGTCCACTTACAGCGTTTCACGTTAACAAAATAATATAGTTTTGGCGCACGACGAAAAAATTTAAAACATCATTGGCGGCAAGAGTTTTAATGAACAAAATAACGAAAACAAGTAGAACGTATGGACTGGATATAAATACCAGCAAAACCAAGCTAATGATCATTCGCAAGGAAAACATAACTGGAGTAAATCTGTATGTATGTATATATACAATACTTGACTATTTATTTCTGCAATATTCATTATACAAAAAAGACTGTAAGTGATCATCGGCAACTTATTCGAGAAACGGGGTAATTACATTTCATCTAGTCCACAATATCCACTGCTCCCTTTGTCATATTGTAGAAGGTTATAACCTGCAGCTTAAAATTTTTACCAGTTTCTTCATAAATTGTATCATCATCATGAAACGTAGATAACATCAGAACATCTTTGTTTTTCTTGGGAACGTATGAAAATAAAAGACAGTCTTTACCATAACCAAAAGTGCTGCTGTTTATTGATCTTTCTTTTGTAGCTAAAAAAAGAGGAGGAATTTTTGGTTTATTCTTCCTCAGGGTTCCTACTAAGTTATCCTGTAATTATGTAGCAAATCAGTAGAAAGTAGAATGAACGTAAACCAGTTGTCACGAGTAATGTACCGTCCAGTAAATTGGTTCTATCATACGTTTAGCCACACTGCTAGGACTATTATTTATTACAAAGGGACCTTTTTTGACTGCTTTCCAGCATATATTTCCAACTTTGCTGTATAAAAAGTTCGCAAATCAACAAGTACGAATATTTTTATCCCCTATTTTGACGGCTTTCTGGGTATATATTGACAAAAGCTACATTTCCCCCCAAAAACCTTTAAGCATCTTGTCGATGCAGCAATACATTCAAACTGTAAATCAGGCTATGAACTTTCCCAAAAACTCCTCGAAAACTTTTCTAATGGGTCGAGTTTGTCATACTTTCGTCGTTTTACCTTTGACTGGATATCTTCAAAGCGTAGAGCACGAAGGAGGATATAGAATCGTTTCTTTGTCATAACTGTCCGAAAACATTTAGGAGCTGTGTCATTTGTAACCCAAAAATCGTCAAAATTTACATAAAAAGCTTTGAAAATACCAGCTGAGTACAACAAGCCAAATATTACTCTAATTTCATCACTATTGGTACATACGATAAAACTGGTTGCGAATTTTTATCAAATACGTATTGGTATGTTGCACAATTTCGTTTATCATTTCGTCAGAGAAAAACAATTTCCAGCATTCAATAATTGATGTTAAGATATTTTTCGCTGTGAATGAACTGCACATTTTGTTTTTTACTTACATACATCCTTTTTTTTCCAAGACCCACTGGATCACCTATACGACAAACAGAAGCCACATCATTGTCATTACAATCTTCTGACAATTCGGAGTCTGAATTATGGCCTAAATTTTCACACTGGTCTATATCACTTTAGATCAATATGAGATCAATATTAGGTATTACCGTCAGAGATAAAGTACCAAACCTAGAAATAAAAAGAAGAACAGGAGTCCCAGATGCAGTTGAAAAAATAGCCATGGCTAAATGGGCTTGGGCCGGATATGTTGCCAGATTAACGGATGATAGGTGGACCAGAAAGATTCTAGAATGGCGACCAAGGCAAGAGGCATATCGAAGCAGAGGACGACCACCGACTAGATAGACGGATGATATCAAGCGCATCACCACAAACTGGATGCAAGAAGCTCAAAATAGAAATAGGTGGAACATTTTACAAGATGCCTAGGTTCAGCGGTGGACAAATATAGACTAATTGAAGAATTGATAATATATCACTGTCTTCTTCATCTTGTAAACCAGGTTTATTGTCATTCTCCTCGATTTCAATTGCATCTAACCACGCTAAAAGTTGTCCTTGCGCTGGATCCATAATAAAAGTCGCAGGGAGTAATATCTTATGTCCGCGGGGACGTTAAAACAGCACGATTAAAATACAATAAATGCTTTCCCAAGCCACCCAAGCCCAACCCCAATTTACCTAAGCAACCGCAAACTAAGCGTTAACCTTCGATGGCGCGCCACGAAATGATACGTACGCTGTACACTACTTTACGGAGTAGAAGGGTGGACGTTAACAGCAGCAACTATAAAGAAGTTAGCGACTCTAGAAATGTGGCTGTATCGACGCATACTGAGAATACCTTGGACAGACAGAGTGACCAGCACAGACGTATTAAGACGAATGGGTAAAGGGGTGGAATTGTTAACAACTGTTAAAAAGAGGAAAGCGTCATACCTAGGCCATGTGTTCCGTAATGATAAGTACAGTCTGCTACAGCTTATCGTGGAAGACAAGATTGAAGGTAGAAGTGGTTTGGGCAGAAGGAAGAAATCCTGACTGAAAAACTTGAGAGAAT